TTCAAAAGAAGGACAGCTTTAGGAACAAAGGTGGCCCTCCTCCTCTGTGTCCTGCAACCAGGACAACGGAGCCGGCGTTTGGAGGGGAGCCACTCAAAGGCAGAGTTCAGCGGGTGTGATGTGTCTTTAGTGATTTTGAGTGCTAGCCTGTGTGTCTGCTGGCCACAGATGTGTGATAAGGATCTCAAGGGCAGACCAATAATCTTAGAACACACATTGACAGTGCTCTGTAGCCGATTTCTGTGCTGCGTGCTGGTGGAATGGAACCAGCAGCTGATGGAGAATGAGATAACATTCTCTATGAAGGAATAGTAAAAGGACCGTAAAATGTCTTTCCTGACTCAAAAGGAATTCAGTTTCCTAAGGAGGTATTGCCGCTGATGACACTTCCTGAGAATCTCCTCTGTGTTGGAGGAGAATTTCAGCAGATGGTCAAAGATGGTGCCCAGATATTTATACTCCTGGACTAGCTCCACTGGTTTACCATGGATGAAGGTGGTAACTGCTGCAGCCAGGTCCCTCTGTTTGTTGGTGTAAGTCACCACCATCTCCTTGGTTTTATAAGGTTATGTGAGTGATGGGAGGTGCTGCCTCTTTGATGCAGTGCTCTGTGAATCGCCTTTATTACGACTGCATGACCCAGCCCTTGCTGTGTTCAGTTTATTGCCTAGCAACGAGTCCATCAGCAGAATGAGCTGAAAAATTCCCCCATGTGCATTAACCACAAGGATGATTCTATCCTGTGATGTGTCTAAATGAAGTAAATGACTCTCCCCCATCTTTTCATCCTCAGCATGCAATACCAAGCCAGCTGATGATGACGAATAATACTGTTAGGACAGTGCGTAACTGCAAACGACAGCATTCCTCAGAAAACAGCAAAAGGTCCACTTCTAGGAAATCGCCTTACCCTTAATGTTTCTGTATGTCTGAATACGGCACAGAGTGCTCTAGAGTCTAGACAAAACAGCTACTAGAAGAGGTCTAAGGTGGGTTCATCGATGCTTTTTTGTTGTCAAACAACCTCTTGTTTGTTTAGATTCAGATGTAGAAAGTGACAGTTGTTTTTGGTATAAATATGTGGACCCGTAAGATGTTAATCAATGTATTAGTGATACATGCATTACAAGAGTGTGAGAATTGGCCTCTGCCATCATGGACAAATATTTCCTTAATGGTATTCTGTATGTCTCCTGCCACCATTTTTTGAAGTTATATTCTTTATCTGCAATACAGCCCTCCAGAGCATATAGAGAAAAATGCAATTAAAAGCACTTAAATATTACACATTGTTATGTAAATGCTTAAATGAATTTATTGGGACGGCATTTAATCAATGATATTAAGCTGATGGTAGGTACTCGCTAGATACTTTTAAAAATAATGTGACCTCGTCATAATGAGATGCAATCATGCATATTTAAGATATAAAATGCTCATAGCACTTGTTTTCTTGAAAAGCAATATGTTGTTGTAGTGTGGAGAGTCCCAATAATAATAGACATACATGCTCTCAATATGCAAGTATATACTAAAAACATAGTTGTTCAGTCTAGCTTTACAGAGACTCTATTTCTAACTCTAGCTAACTGCTCACCCCCAGTTAGGCCTACAGTGTGAGGTGCAGTGCTGGGTGAGGATCGGTGCCATTGGCTTTCGATGAAGTGAACTGTCAGTGTTGTCACTCTAGCTTCACACTTCCTTGTAGAATTGGAGTGATAATGTTCAGGAACTCTCCATGCTTGTGTCCTCACTTGCCTCTCCCTCCTACTTATGCTGCCATATCCATATCTGCCAGAGCTTACTTATTGCACTCACCTAACTGTTTGCACTGCCTCTAGTCTCCCCTACTTTGGCTAATGCACTTTTTATCTCTCCCACCCCTCCTGGGGTGGGCTACCTGGAGACCCCAAAAAAAAATCAAGATGTTCTGCCCAGCTTGCTGACTGTGACTACTACCTGTCATGTCCTTTCAGCCTGCCTGCCCTTCTTCCTGTGACATATCTCCCGCCTGCCCTGCTGCTATATCACTGTTCATCCTGCCTTCAGAACCAGCACCTGTATGCTATCACCTTCCTGCTGCATTGACACTCAAATCTTAAAATCTTAAAATTTGAACTCTGTAAATTAGGATTTTGTTATCTTGTTCATTTGACTTCCTCTGCCAGCCCCTGGAGGAGGGGTTGAGTTGAGTCTGGGGTTGAGTCTGATTCCTCCCAAGGTTTCTTCCTTCTATGGAGTTTTTAACCCCTGGCTTGCTCACTGTATAGAAGGATTTTTGCTGTTTACCTATCATAAAATAGGCCATTTGTGGATTATTGGGAGCTCCATACCAGACAACAAAGTAACAGTTTATGTATTCTGGTCAGTATCAATCAAAATATTGAGTGTATTGAACCATTATCCAAATCATTCCTAGTGCCTCATCAAGCAAGGCTGGACAAACTTAAAAGATGAGACCTTTTTCTCACTGTTTGGTTCCCCCCTACACACTTCAAAAATTTCTCCTGCACACCTGCCTGTGAGATCAGACCAGATGGGCTAGCCTATGCTCTCCATGCGCATCAGTGAACCATAGACACCTGTATTTAAATGCTAGGAGTATTAGAAACAAAATTCATGATTTAAAGGCTTTAATTTCATATGACAGTTACGACAGAGACCTGCCATTGTGGAGATGCTCTCATCCAGTTATCAAGCCATCACAATTTGGCCCTTATAGAAGTTGTTCAGATCCTTACACTTGCCCGTTGTTTCTCCAACACATCAACTTCAAGAACTGACTGTTCACTAAAATGTAATGGCACCCTTCACAGTTGCCATTCAAACAATATCAATGTTATTCACACCACCTGTCTATGGTTTTAATGTTATGGCTGATCGGTGTAGTGTTACATAGTTCTGTGTGCCCTCCAATCGTGTACGGTCATGTTACACTCAATACTATAATGTTTATAATTATCATAAACTTTTACAAGTGTTTTCCGTCAAATACTGACAAACTGTAATGTCTTCTATGTTCTATGCAGTTTTGTATAATATTACTTAAGATTTTCCCTATCGAACGTTTTATAGTAGTATTGCATCGTTAAAAAAAAAAAAACTAAATTCTAAACTCCTCCTGCTCCCTGCTACCTCCCCGCCTTAAAGGCAATCGCCCTTCCCAGAGTATCCCCTTGCAAAACAGTGTGATGGGAGCCCATTTAGAAGCGCTAGGTTTTTGTGGTGGACGCACGCCAGATTACAAGCTTGAGTGGTGGACGATCAGTGGTGCTGGCTTCTAAGGGTTTGTTTTATATGCGCAAAAAAAATTATGCAGCTGTCGTGGAAGACAGACGTAAGAGTAAGTACTTGAATGCGAATTCGTGATGCACATTTAACTCGTTGTTCTGTTGTTTATATAGGATACTGCTTGGATATAATGAATGAACTATTTTATTTTAATCCTGCTGTGTTTTCAGGTTGTGGTGGTTAACATTTTATATTTCCAGTTTTCTTAAATTTCAAAGAAAGTATTCTGGAGATGTCCGACTTCAACCACCTCAATAAGAGTCGATCAAGCGGCCGTGGCCCTGAATATGTATGGGAATATGAATATTATGATGACGAAGAGCCGGTGTCTTTTGAGGGGCTTAAAGCGCACAGATGTGAGTTGAAACACGCGCGTGTTTTAATGTGCACCGTTTTATCGCAGTTTTCTCCGCACTGAAAAGCTTTGTGTTACGCCGTCCTTGTGTAGGTACATTATGAAGATTTTGTGAATGAGATGTTAACCTTTGGGTGTGTTTTTCTGGATCCACTGTAGCCTTTATGTTGTGAATGTATCGTTTTTACAGCAACAGTGTACGCCCTAAGACTACGTTCACACTGCCATGCTGAAGTGACTCAATTTGGATTTTTTGCCTTAATGTGACACAGATCTGATCTTTTTAGGGCTGTGTGGAAACGCAAATCTAATCTTTTCAAATCAGATTTGTGTCACTTTCATACTTGGTACTAAATCTGATACGTATCCGATTCGCGGCCATGCGACCTGAATGTGAACGCTCAGATCGGAATTCATGTGGCTTTTTGCTTATACACATACGCTAACATTATAAGCCTGCACCGGCAGCGCGGGAAGGTAAAAATGGGGGAGAGCTGCGATAACAGTCAGTGGAAGGATTGAGAAGTTGGGGATTTAATAGATATTTGGGCAAATGAATCTGTTCAAGTTAAACTGGAAGGAACCTCTCGTAATAGAATGGTAATTGAAATAATTGCCAAACAAATGGCACAGCGCGGACACGAACGTGGCTACAATGCCAAAGAAAAATAAAGAGCCTGAAGTCAAAGTTTAAGGAGGCAAAAGACTCGAATCAGCGCAGCGGTCATGGCCGCACAACGTACCGATTTTACGACCAGCTTTTTACCCGAGTAAAAACATATCAATGAGCGCATGCGTGACGTTTCAGATGACCGATGCGTTCACATTACAGTCAGATACAGACCACTTGTAGTTATGAATGTGGAACCGTCAAGGTAGACAAATCCGATCTGAGCAAAAAATCGGAATTGAACGATGTGGCTGGCAGTGTGAACGTAGCCTAATTGTTCTCCATCTTGGTTTCTGTGTCACTTGGAAATAAATGGTATTCAAATGAGCCTCCTGAAATAGATTCGACGTTTACGGTATTACATAGCAATTACACTGTTCTTAAAATACGAAAAGAGATCAGTTATTACTTTATTAAATTAACTGAATGAGAAATTGTATTTTACGTGAAACGATTCGATTCCTGTTAATTCAAGGTGCTTATCTTATTAAAACGAGTATTTAAGTGACACATTTTACACCCCTTCCTTGCTGTAGTGACTGACCTCTAAGCCCTCATAGGAGAGCTACCAAGTGAAGACGCCTTTGATTTAGCTGTTTTCTCTATTCTGATGCACCCTATTATAGAATCATGCACTGACAGATTCACAGCTCATTAGGATGAGGCTCTGCTACGTCTTTCAGCTTCCAGCTGAATACTGGGAACCTGGGAAATGGTTGTCTATTAGGGCATAGACAGCCTTTCATAGAATCATTCTGTAGAATTCCTTTTACTGGTAAATAGGACTCATGTTAATATATTAAGTGCTTTTCATGTAAGAAGTATGCTAGCCTTAATATGAATAAACCTGTTTATTTCCTTTGCGAAATTTAAATTGTGCTTCAAACTGTGACTGACTGTAGGGAGTAAAAATATAATATAATTTATTCTCACCTGTTGTGTTGCAGATTCTGTTGTGATAGGCTTCTGGGTTGGCCTGGCAGTGTTTGTCATCTTTATGTTCTTCGTTCTAACCCTACTGACGAAGACAGGAGCACCACATCAAGAGTAGGATGATATGCATTTTGAAAATTCTGCTTTCATCTGCATCCTCATTATGTCCTACCATCCTGAATGCAAATGTGTTTTACTGAAAGCCTTGGTATTTCATACATTTTGAACAGCTCTTCTAAGGTAGTGTTTAGTTTTTGTATACATTCAATGTCACATTTCTTTAAATCTTAATTGCTGGAAGGAAATCATGCATCTGATGTTGAATATGCCACCATCTTTTATTACTAGTTGGTAATACTTATTTCTGTAATATGGATGAAAGAAGGCCATGGTACCTAAGATGTGGTAGAGACCAGTTTGTTCCTGGTTGCAACATAAAAAGCTTCACATCTTCCTTTAGGGTCCAGATTCATGGAATATTTATCACAACAATGTCAGTAGGCCCCCCACATAAGATTTTCCAGTCTAGGCTCATGCCAGCAAGCATTCAACAACCAATATCCATTTAACAGCAACAGACCCTCAGTCGTGAACTGGCAGCAGAGGTACCGCTAGAGATATTGGGCCCCCAACCCAGACCAATCCAATTATCTTCCGCTTTTTTCATGCCCCTTTCACTCAGGAGCCATTGGAATAGTCTTAACTCCCCCCCTCTTTATGACACCCCTGACTTCAAGCCACAATGGTGACAGCATTTGCAGTTCCCCTAAGTTACTAGAACAGTGAACATCAATCCAGATTTATTTTTATATAGTGCCTTTCACAGCAAGGCATTTTACATAGGTGTGTTGTGATGCAGGAATGTATCATTTATACATAATTCAATTCAGGGAAAAGGGAAGATAAAGAAATGAAAGATGACAACAGACAACAGGAACCAATAACTACCATGTAGGGAGAAAAAAAAAACTTCTGGGGGTCCAAGGTCAACTGGGAATGCTAACATTAATGAAAGAGTGGGCTTGCTTGCAAGTGTAAACTGTGGTCAAGGTCAAAGCCGAAGCACATAGTGACTTAGTTCTCCATGCCAGCCTGTGTAGGGTGGCAGATTGAAGGCTGCACCCACGATGTTATAGTCACATCCATTATGTCATCCTTCAATGGGAATGAATCAGGACTCCAGCTCAGATGATGTCCACACTGCGCACCATTTGGATATTTGGGAAGGAAGACAGAGAACTTGAATTGTCAGAACATGAGAAGACACATTACTGGACAAGCACAGTAAATCAAAATGGCACGTACAGCGGCACCAGTAGCCATTGTTAGGTGTGTTATGTATTAAGTTGTGGGTAAGCTAATAGGTCTTCAGTCACGATTTAAAGACCAAGACTAATTTGGCATCCATAACATGACCTGGCAGACTGTTCCACGATTTAAGGGCCCTGTAGCAGAAGACTTTATTGCCAACTGTTACTTTATGTGTGAAATGGCCAGGAAGCCTGTGTTCTGTCATCGGAGTGGACGATGTGGCTTGTAAACTTGAAGTAGTTCTGTTAAGTATGCAAGGGCTAAACCATTTAAGTTCCTATTATGTAAGTAAGAGAACTTTGGAGTCAGCCTTGAACCTAAGTTCAAACTTCAGGCTGCATTTTGGATAAGCTACAAGGTGTTTAATGTATGATGTGTACTCCCAGATAATAGACCATTACAGTAGTCTAACCTTCTGTATGCAAAAGCATGTATTAGTTTATATGTATCTTGAAGGGTAAGGAAACGTAGTTTGGCAATGTTACATACCTGTAGGACACACACCTTTAACACTGAATCCACATGCAGTTTGAATGAGAGGCTTGCATCTAAGGCAAGGGTGTTAAATTCCAGTCCTGGTGGGCCGGAGCCCTGCACATATTTGGGTTTCCCCACATGTAACACACCGGATTCAAACCCTTGCACTCCTTGTGCTAAATACCACACAGCTCTTGAGCGGAATCATTTGTGGTGGAACAGGGAAAGAACTAAGTTACACAGGGCTCCAGCTATGGCAATAAATTAATTAGAAAAATGTCATTCATGCAAAAAAGTACATTGAATTACACTAATTGAATAAAAAAGCATTGCATTCATTAATTCTTGAATAAAAACACATTGCATTTAATAATGCTTGAATATCTGGGGGCTGTAACTTAACGTGAATATACATTTAAACATTGAATATTTCAAATGAAAATATTTCAGTTGCAATTTCATTGGTAAAATAAGCAACAAAAATATACAGTTTATAAAGTTAATTTTTATAAATCAGTCACCTGAATTATACTTTCGCCTCAAAAGAAATGTCAAGGCAAATTCAGCTGTAAACATTCCATGTTTTAATGTCATCTTCATAATTCGAGGTAACGTTCAGTCCTTTTATTTTCAGTTTACAAATGTGCTGCCAAAATTTCAGTGTTTTAAAATACGGTCTGAAATTCAACCTTCTACATCTGGGACTAGCAGGATGAGCAGTTGAGTGCCAAGAGTTCTTGCTTAGATCTGGAGTCAACAGTGAGTGTGCAATAAATAGGGCTACAAGTTCTGTTGCACCGGTGGACAGACTGGTAGATTTTCTTTGTGCCATAGTGAATATGAGTGACCAAAAGTCAGCTACTGTCCTATCTCTTTCATCTAGCTATTTATTAAACTTGCCGGTGATAATTAACGGAATGACATTACACGTGGAAACCAATATTGGATGCGATTTGTCTGTGTTTTCTGATTGCACAATTGGCAAAGTTTATGGTTGAGGACCCAGCTGGAAGAAGCGCCCCTTATTTTTTGAAATCCCTTCACTATGGAGAATGGCTAATTGTCCAATGCAATCATCTCCATTATTTTAATAGTTCTGTCTTAGGCTCTGCATCATGGGACCGGCCCATGACAGCTAAGCACCCCTTATTATGTAGGTTCTAGATTCCCAGTTATGGACCACAGCTCCAATGACACTTAAAACTAATTAATTCTATCTCCAGCACAAAAACATTTAGCAGGTAAGATTACAAACAAAGAATAGCACAACCAAAAAAACCCACAATACTGCTACATGATGATAGGAAATGACAATACCAGAAATAACTTAAAAATAAACACACTTATTACATGGGCCCCATGATACAACACCTAAAAGAGAATCCCAATATGTCTCTTTATTCAGGTCGATCGTCAGCAGGTCCCTTGCAACGACATTGCGCAGTCTTGATCCAGCCCAGCCTGACGCATCCTCTTCACACACCGCCTGTCAGATACTTAAAGGGGATTCAGCGAGAGAGTACAAACGAAACTAAACACTCACACACACGGCTAAAATTGATTTTTAATGAATATTGACAAACTTACCTTGCTTACGATAGCTACTTGCAGGGAACTACTAGGTTTTCTAGCTTGCAAGCTAGCTAGCTATAGGTAGTAGGGATGGGACAGTAGCCGACTTTGGGACAGGCATGTGATTACACAAAGAAAATCTACCGTTATGTCAACTAGTGCAACTTGTAGGTCTACTTATTGCACTCTCACTGTTGACTCTGGTGCTAGACAAAAACTATCAGCACTCAACTGCTCATCCTGCTGATGTAGAAGGTTGAATTTCGGGCTGTATATTACCTCGAACTATGAAGATGGCATTAAAATGTTTCCAACTGAACTTGATGTCTTGAATTTGAATTCAGGTGATGGAATTATAAAAAATGAACTTTATAAACAGTATATTTTAGAACTGAATTGTGGAAGCAGAATATTTCTGTACTGAATATTTTACTAGTGAAATTACTATTGAAAATTTCAATTGAAATATTTAATGTTTAAATGCACGTTCATATTACAGTTTTTCTCAAATGCTAAAACACATTTCACAAACGTTTCCTCCATGTTCCCCAATGTCTAAACA